AGATCACGAACCACATCCAATCTGTAAAGTTAAAAGTGCCTCTTATCTTTATGGCGAAAAATTATAATGACATGAAGTGTGAAAACATTTATAACAGGAGAAAGTTTTTTTTACTGAAGCACAGAAGATACAAATAAATATTTGTCAGCAAATGAAGAGTACTTTAATCGCAATCGATCTTTGAAAATTGTTGAGGAGAAATGCTTCGTTGACAGTTTTTGCTCAAACTACATCAAATGAACAACATGCATTGGAAGGAGAAGAAATTCAACAAAGACTTCTCCTAGCTGCCATGCCAAGGCTGAAAACCAATGTTCACAAAGACTGTATAGAATTGTTCTTTGCCCCTCAGTTTTGACAGTTTGAGTAGCAGCAATTCTGATAATCATTTTTGATTCATTTTAAGATTGTAACATACATGTAAAATTCTGTCGAAATCGAAGCAATTTGAAAATTTGGAGGTTCCTTTGGTTCACTCTAGGGGTCCCAAATTTCAAGCCAAAGGACAGGTTTAAGACTAATAGTAATTGAAATAATAATGCACATCTTTTTTAAGTTTTCTACTTAATCAACTTTATGGCCAAGGCTGTAGGTTTAATTGAAAATGTCGGAGTTCCCTTCTGGTCCCCTAACTCGTGGGGGACCCAGTGTTGATTTTCAGTGAATTCCAAGTGACTACTTCAGTTACTTGATATAATCTCAATATGTACTGAAATTTTCGTTGAAATTGTGGAATACTGCTACAAAATACACTTGAAAAGCAACTGAGGCATCAAGGGGTTTATAGGGTCATCCTGGGGGCCCCCTCATGCATTTTTTAAAATCTGACAACCGATTTCTATCGCATTGTAAGAGCATAACAAACATGCAAAATTTCATCAAAATCAAAGCAATTTGAATTTTTTTGGGTCCCTTTGGGGAACCCTGGGTGTCCCAGTGTTGAGAGAAACGAAAATCAATATAATGTATAATAAGCATGACAGTAAGTTGCATACACTTATCAAGTTTCATTAAAATCGGCTTTAGGGTTTAGACTTCAATTCTGAAAGTTTAAAAACAATGTGAAACTAATGGAAATTCCCATTTAAACATTATATTTATCGATTATCGGTTATTGATTTTTGAAAAATGACTAATTTTTTTTAACAGACATACCCAGTATCGAGTACAATCTATGTTCCAAATTTGGTAGAAATATGTCTTATGGTTCTTGAGTAGTTCGTGAACACACACACACACACATAGTCAGTTTTATATATATAGATAGATAACATTTTTTAAAATCCAAATTATAATCACACCCATTACGGGGAGCACCTAATACATTGAGTGTTTTTTATTGTAAAAGATCAGTTTGCATTATAATCTTTTGTTTAAATTTTGAGGTTTCTCCTATGTATTTTGTGTGGCAATAATTACAGATGATAACTTCCTCCTTCAATTTTTAGCTTATTATCATTTTGTTCAGCATTAATTAAATCTTTTATTGTCCTTAGATAAATTATTGGTTGGTAGAAGAATATATTTTGATCCATTGATTGATAGAAGAGTTCACTGTTTTATTTGGAAATATTTATGATCCTTTTGTTTCACACTGAATATGAAGATTTTTTTCCCCATTTTGTCATTGATTTTCCTAACATTGCTTTGGTATATAAAAAAATTTACATATCATTTTCTATATATATATATATATATATATATATATATATATATATAAAGAAATTTATGAATATTTTTTTAATCTAACATTATTTCTTATTGCTACAAATGTTATATTTAGTGGTGCACATGTCTGAGTAGATATCTCTGATTTTTCTTAAAAATAGGGAAATTAATGTCTATCTGCATATGAATCACATCTGCATTTCCCTTTTCAGCCAGGAAAACCATTTAAGCTTACATAGGCTAAGTGAGCCTTGATTTGCTGTAATAGCTTCTTGTAGCCCAATGGTAAGCTTAAAACAAACAACTTTTACTTAATATATTTCATAAATTACATTCAAGATATGTTGTTTAACAGTCTCTTGTTTTCCCAAAATGTTTTGTGGTCCAGAAATGGCAAGTTCCCAGATCATCAAAAAAATGAACAAAAAAATGAATGAATTATCTTTAAATATATGCAAATTGATACCAATCAAATTGATCCAAATCTACAGACTAGAAATCATCTGTCCAAAACTTGATGCATTGAAGAGTTTTATCAATTTGACTTTAATCATTAAAACTGAATGTTTAATTTATTGAAAACATTTTTTTATATTCAATAAAGTCAACATGTTTATTAAAATACCACAAAATTACTTTTATTAAGTATTTTAATGTGGGCAGATAAAAAAAAAAAAAATGAATCCAGAAATGTTTGACAAGAAAGTAATAATGAAGACAACATCTGCAATTTAAACATTGTTCTTTGATTAATTTTAGTTTGTTCAACATTGTCATCTCTACTGGCAACTTGCAAGTAGAAGTGTCAAGATAAAATGTTGATGGGAAAGATAATATTGTTAACTATCTCTTTTGTTGTGGCATCTGATGAGGACAAGGCTAAATTAAAACTGACAGAAACAAGATAAAGGAACTTTATCTGAATGGGCCAACCTAGGGGAGGAGAAAAAAAGAATGAACGACAGAGATATATACATCAGGGATAGAATTGCAATTTATACATTTCCTTGCATACAACACTATTTACTCCAAAATTGTTTTGTCTTTTGAAACAGGTTTCTCTCCACTAGAAAGATTCAAGATTGGTAATATCTGCAGTTTCATCATTTTTTTTTCATGCTTGGCCCTTTTTCTGTTGTAGATTTACTGCTTAAAAATGTTTTCTGAAGATGGAACATCATTCGATCTGGCTAATGCAATAATATTGTAATGCATGACAGTAATCTTTATAGTTTGTACACAGTAACTACTGCAATGACATAATGGAGGTTTGTATCTAAGTAGCTTTTAAAATAGTCCACTTGAAACTAAAAGGATGATTAGGCAGGTGAGGAGGGGGGGGTCCAGTATTTATGAAATAAGATACAAGAAACTCAAGTGAAAGACGATGATGTTGCTATAGCAACACATATCTGACAAGACTCTTTCTATGCATTGAGTTCTTGTCTTCTTGCCAAGGATCATCTCAACAGAATGTCCAAGAAACTACCAAAGTAGGACATTTCATTTCTGGCAAGTGTACATTTTCATAGATACTCTTCTGTATAGACAAACTTTATACATATAGGTCAGTCAAACCTATATTGTGTGTGTGTGTGTGTGTGTGTGTGTGTGTGTGTGTGTGTGTATATATATATATATATATATATGATAAAAATATAGTTTCAAGGTCTGCTGTATTTATGACTATGAAGGACAGAGCGTATATAAATGTAAATGTGGACACTGCGTGGCAAGTCTGTTTCATGCATGAAGACTTGAAACATGAAACAGACTGTTGTCACTCAGTGATTCTTGTCCATGCCATCTTCCTCACTATCACACACACACAAGCTGTTTATATAACCTGTGATATAAGTAGGATTTATGCAATTATTAAAGAGAAACTTTATACTGTGACAATTGATAAATGCAAATATAGACATTTATTAGAATTTATTTAGTAGAATAATGTTTTACAAATATTTATTAAAAGAAATGCATCAAGCCTCCTATAATGAAAATTAATTTTAACAGAAGAAAAAAAAATTCAAATCACTGTTCTATTTGAAATATATATATATATATATATATATATATATATAAATATATCTTGCGCATTGAGTGCTGGCATTAATAAAAATACATTTTTTTCTTCACCAGTAGCTCGACCGACTTTTATTCACAACTCAGTTGTACATGAAACTCTGAGTGATGCTATCAGTGAAAAAATATATAAAATTAAAACTCAGGTTGGCAGTGACTGTGGCTACTACTATCAGTTTTGTGTGTTTGCACACAATCATCAGGCAGCCTTCTGCTCCATTTATTGCTGCCCACTGACTTTATCACTACTCCATCACCCATTCACTTAGAGTTACTCATTTCCAGCAAGAAAAAAAAGTGTTTTAAAAATGAAATTTGCAATGTTTCATCTGAATTTGCTTTGACCAAATTTCAGTTGTCAATCTGTGCATGCAAACATCATATATAATGTAACAGCACTGCTAATGAGCTTACTATAGAAATACACTGAAAAGCTAGGAAGAAATTGTCAGTAGTGATGAATTAATGTAAGTCTTATTGACAGAACTGGGTGATTATATATAAGAATTACCATGCTCAATATTTGATTGATTTGGGGTTTTTTTTTTTTTTTTTACAGTTTATCAACCTTTTGTAGGTTATTTTATTGTTTGGATTGTAAGAACAATAATTCTTTTATTTTTGCAAATGAATATTGTATTAAGTTTTTTCAGATACAAGTCTTACTATTTAACCCATAGTTGGGAGGAGATGTGGTGGATTCATACCTTTCCCAAGGGTATCTGCATGTAAGTGAACATAACAAACCTGACTGGAATTTGAACTCTGCTTTCCAATTTCTCATTCTGAGCCGGTATTTATCACACCACCCGCACATTCAAGCTTACTGCAACTGATCTTCCCAAGCGGTCACCCATCTAGGTACTGACCATGCTTGACATTGCTTATCTTTTGTGATTGAACAAGAACTGGTGTTCAACATGATATGGCCATAAGATTGCCCAATATTTAGTAATATAGTGCAAAGCAAATTAATAATCAATGTTCAATTTAACTGATTCTGATCACTTATCAAATTATACATAAGTTTTTTTGATGAAAGACAAAGTTACATAGAACTGTTCACAAAAGCAGCAATTAGCCAAGAAACAAAAATCATTATAGCTTTTCACACTGAATTGCTCTTGTTGACAAACTATAAAAAGATGAGAATCAGAAATGAATGCCTTTATGTGTTAATGGTTTACTAATAAATAAATGACTTGACGATATTGTCAGAAGTGGCAAGATATTTACAGTGACAATTCTTACAACCTCTTCAAATGCATACACCAATTCTTTATATGAAAATAAGAAAAGAGAAAAGAAAATAATGTCAAGGGGAGAAAGTGGAAGAAGGACAAAGACATGAAAGATAAGGGTGAGAGGAGAATGAACAAGATAGCAATGTGAGCAAGAGGACTAAAATGAGTGGAGAGTATAAAAAGATAGAAGTGGATGATAGTAAAACAAGGATGAAAAAAGATGAAGAATTTGCATATGAGTGAGGAAGAGAAGACAGAAAAAAAGGGAAGGAAGGAGGAAGCAGAGGATGAAAAAGAAGGAAGCAGGGGACAAAAAAATGATAAGGTAAAGGAAGAGGTTGAAAAAAAAAAAAAATGGAGAAAGCAGAGGGCAAAAAGCAGGGTGAAAAGAGGAGAAAGTATAAGATGAAAGGCAGAGGAAAAGAGTGATAGGAGGAGAAGGCAAAGGAGGAAGGTAAAAAAAAGAGAAAGCAAAGGATAAAAGGCAAAGAAAGAAGGTGAAAAAAGAGAAGACAGAGGAAAAAAGGCAAAGGACGAGGGTGAAAAAGGCAAAGGACGAGGGTGAAAAGGGCAAAGGATGAGGGTGAAAAGGGCAAAGGCAGAGGAAAAAAGGCAAAGGAAGAATATAAAAAATATATAATGGTGTGATAGAATAATGATGTTGATAATAAAGAAAGGATTAAGAAAGAAAAAGAAAAGAAAGAAGAGCAGAGAGAGAGAAAGAGAGAGGTGGAAACCCACTCTGGAAAGAAAGACTATAACTGTTCATTATACCATTTCGTGTGCCTCAATGCTTGACAATAAAACAGACAAGAGCCAAGCAAATTAAACACTAATATTGAATCCTTTCTCTTCTGTGTCTGTCCAATAATAAAAGCTGCAAGAATTATAGCCTCATTCTATATTTTAAAAAAAATAAAGAGCTTGGCAATTAGAAGTTGCAAAGCCAAAACTTGGCACTGACAAAGGACCATAATTATTCAGGATAACTTAAAAAGTAACTCCTTTGAAATTTCTTCTGTTTACTTGTGAGCCATTACAACTTTGGCTGCATTGGCAAAAAGGTGTGATGAAGATTTGGAATACATGCAGAGTGAAAGTGGGGGATAAAGAAATCAAAGAATTTTGGTAAATTTTAATTTGTGATTCTCGTTATTTTGAAAATACTGACATTTCACTTGAAATCTGAAAACCAGGGAGGCCCAGTTTCATGACAGGTTAAAAAATATACAACAAATAAAAAAAAGTATATTCTTATAATATATTTTATGTTGTATACTTCTGAATATTTTTTTAATCATTTCACCTCAAGCAAGGCAATAAAACCACTAAAACACAAATATTTATTGAGAGTGAAAGAAACCGAGAAAACATTGAGTAGAAAGGACGATAAAAGACGAGTATTCAAAAAGACAGATCGTACTTGACAAGAAAGAAAGAAGCTGGAATTTTTTGTGGAGTTCCACAAATGACAAATGCAAGAGAAACTATTATAAATAAAGCTTACAGTTCTATGGTTCATATGAAAAGAGCAATGCATTTGCTATTATTACAATAATGCATTATGAAATATATCAACATTCATTCATGTTTATGGGACAGCAAAATACTAAAAGTATTTATGGAAATTCTTTAGAAATTATATTACTGTTGTGACCTAGGGAAAGTTATATATATATATATATGTATAGCTGGCCACTTGTATTCGAGGATACCCATCTATTAGGGCGTCTAACCAATTCCTGTTACAGACGCTTGCTCAGGCACATTTGTGTTTGTTCAACACCCACAGAGCCCACCTGTGGTTTATACTGCAACTATGCTGAGCAGACCTTAGTTACAGTTTCTGGGAAAGAGTGTGTTACCTAGCATGATCAACAATTTGAACAAGGCCAGCACACTCGAGCCCTCAGCCATGATGACATGTGACACTGTGTTAGCACAGCTATCAATGGGCCCAAGGGTTCTATCTGCCCAATTTCACTCACAAGGCTTGGGTTAATCCATGGTGTGGTTTTCAGGGACTTTTCAAAGGTTCTGCATACTGGGATCAACCCCTCCAGTCTCATAACATCAGGAAGTCACCTTCTTGACAAATCGACCATGGTGAGATTTGAACCTAGGTCTCATGGCCAGAATCCAAACTTTTCTAACCACTCAGCCACGTGTCAGGTTACTGAATAGAATAATCACATGAAAGTTGGTAATGAACAATAATACTTAGGAAAATTTTTTGTCGATTTTTTAAAAAGAAAAGAAAGTAATTTATTAAGGATCATTTTTTAATACATGACTTTATTTTTAATTTAAAAATTTATTGAAAATTGTATGCAATTATTTATTGAAAATTTAGGGAGAAATGTTAAGTTGTCCTTTTTCTGAGTAGGCTGGTGGTGAGTTGTCATGGGGATGTGTTTGGTGGTGATAAAATACCCCCCCCCACTGATGGGGCGGGGCTATGGTTCAAGAGACGAATCAAAAAACTGAAATTTGAATTTGCAGCTTCCCTTCTCCTTCAATGAGAGGTTGATGAAAACCAGTCCCTTAAGCGGTAAATCAGTTGGTAAGCTTGTAAAATCTGCGATATTCAGAGAGTATTAACATATATAAGGAAAAAGAAACTTTAATTAAGTATGAGAGTTATATAAAAAAAATAGGAGGAGGAAATAGAGAGAGAGAGAGGAATATGAACTGGAGAATAAAAAGAAAGATACAATAGTCACGAGAGAGAGAGAGAAAAAGAAAGATACAATAGTCACGAGAGAGAGAGAGAGAAAAAGAAAGATACAATAGTCACGAGAGAGAGAGAGAGAAAAGAAACAATAGAGAGAGAGAGAGAAAAAGAAAGATACAATAGTCACGAGAGAGAGAGAGAAAAAGAAAGATACAATAGAGAGAGAGAGAGAAAAAAAGATACAATAGTCACGAGAGAGAGAGAGAGAAAAAGAAAGATACAATAGTCACGAGAGAGAGAGAGAAAAAGAAAGATACAATAGTCACGAGAGAGAGAGAGAGAAAAAGAAAGATACAATAGTCACGAGAGAGAGAGAGAAAAAGAGACAATAAAGAGAAGAGAGAAAAGAAAGATACAATAGAGAGAGAGAAAAGAAAGATACAATAGTCACAAGAGAGAGAGAGAGAAAAGAAAGATACAATAGTCACAAGAGAGAGAGAGAAAAGAAAGATACAAGAGAGAGAGAGAAAAGAAAGATACAATAGTCACAAGAGAGAGAGAAAAGAAAGATACAATAGTCACAAGAGAGAGAAAGAAAAAAGAAAGTCACAAGAAGAGAGAGAGAGAGAAAAAAGATACAAAGATACAATAGTCACAAAGAGAGAGAGAGAAAAAAGATACAATAGTCACAAGAGAGAGAGAGAAAAAGAAAGATACAATAGTCACAAGAGAGAGAGAGAAAAAGAAAGATACAATAGTCACAAGAGAGAGAGAGAAAAAGAAAGATACAATAGTCACAAGAGAGAGAGAAAAAAAAAGATACAATAGTTACAAGAGAGAGAAAAAAGTATATATTAAAGGATAAAGAGTCTTATGGCCATATTACATTGAAACATTGGTTCCCATATAAAAGCAACATCAAGACTGGTCATTACCGAAAAAGGTGATCACTTGGGAATACCAGGTGTTGTAAGCTTGGATATATGCATGGTGGAATGGATAATGGCTTGGAATTGGAAATTGAAAAGCTAAGTTCCAATTCTAGTCAGGTTCATTACATTTACTTATGTGCAAATGCCCTTGGGAAAGGTATGACTTAATCTCTTCTCCCCTCATTATGGGTTAATTAGCAGGATTTGTATCATTATTATAAATTGTTATTAAAAAAAAAAAAAAAAAAAAAAAAAAAAAAATCTTAGAATCTAAGAATATTTTCTGGCTTTAAAATAACCTGCAATGGGTTGATAAGCCATAAAAACAAGAGAAGGCTAAGAAGAAATGAACAGGTAAAAAGAAAATATACAATATTTAGAAGAGAGGGAAAAAGAAAGAGGGTATATTCATAAGAGAGAGAGAGAGGAAGAGAAGAGGATTGACATGATAAAGAGGAAAGTGAAGGTGAATATTAAAATAAGGAGAAGAGTGAAAGAAAAAATATTAAAAGAAAGAAACAGATATTCTTAATAGAAAGGTGCCAAGAGTGAGAGATTGAAATCAACAGAGAAAAGAGGAAAAAAAAAGATTCATAAGAGAGAGGTCAGAAATATAATATCAACAGGAGAAAGAGCATTTCAGATAGAGAGGAGGTGAAACGGAAAGGAAAGAAAGAGGAAAAGCAGAGAAAGAAAGAAAAAAAGAAAAAGGAAAAAGGAAAGAAAAAGGAAAAAGGAAAGAAAAAGGAAAAAGGAAAGAAAAAGGAAAAAGGAAAGAAAAAGGAAAAGGAAAAGAAAAAAAGAAAAAAGGAAAAGGAAAGAAAAAGAAAAAGAAAAAGAAAAGGAAAAGGAAAAGGAAAAGGAAAAAAAAGGAAAAAGAAAAAAAGAAAAAGAAAAAGAAAAGGAAAAGGAAAAAAAGGAAAAGGAAAGAAAAAGAAAAAGGAAAGAAAAAGGAAAAGGAAAGAAAAAGGAAAAGGAAAGAAAAAGGAAAGAAAAAGGAAAGGGAAAGGAAAAAAGAAAAAGAAAAAGAAAAAAGGAAAGAAGAAGAAAAAAGGAAAGAAGAAGAAAAAAGGAAAGAAGAAGAAAAAAGGAAAGAAGAAGAAAAAAGGAAAGAAGAAGAAAAAAGGAAAGAAGAAGAAAAAAGGAAAGAAAGAAAAAACGAAAATGGAAAGAAAAAAAAAAAAAACGAAAAAGAATAAGTAGAAAGACAAAGCAATCATTGGTTATGCTCCAGTAAATAACATTCTGTTTAGAACATGGTGGCCGATAATGAGTCTATTATCTCTTATCTGAAAAAGAAGAGAGGAAAAATATCAATGAAACACCGGGGGGGGATGCTGCTGCTGCTGGAATTATTGTTTTAATAGTTAGCAAGCACATATTGGCTTAACTTTTCCTCGCTAGCCATCAAGGAAAAACACCTCATGTAACATTTCTCGTTTGTCATAGCATTACAAAGAGGAAGAGAATAAAAGAATGACACATAGAAAAATTATCAAAAAAAAAAAAAAAAAAAAAAAGAAGAAGGCTGTAATTAAAGTGAAGTAAGCGTGTTGAGTCCAGTGTGAAAGCAACAATCAATAGAACAATAGAGTCAAAGAGAAAAGCTACAAGATAAAAAGGTAGGCCAGACAATGGTCAATGCTGATATATGACAGTTGCCAGCATTGTCTTTTAATGATAACAAGAATGGACAGTGTGCTTCACACTGACCAGATGTTGATCAAAATGGCCACCCTTTGTTTATGATAACAGATCAATATGAACTTCAACAGTTTTTTTTTCCTTCCAATTTTTAAATAATGCATCTTGAAAGGTAATGTAAACTGAAGCTGTTTAACTAACTAGTCTGTCTGTTTGCACAGACACAGACACACACCAAATTAGATCAATAAGTCATAGTAAGGAAAAAGAATTAATTTGCAAAATATTTATTTTCTTCATAATATCCATTCATGTCAAGGCACTTAATTCAGTAATTGATATTAATCACATAAATCAAATGTTATACAATTTCAGGTTAAAATTCAGCTTATGTTATTCCAAGCAATGGATTTTGTGTGTGTGTATATATATATATATATACACATACACACACACACACACACACTATAGGCCAAAATTTTGAGGCCACCCTCTGGATTCAATAATTTATAACTTTCAAACCTTATTTGATTTAATTAATTCCTACTAAACTAGGTTGTTAATTTTACCTATTAGTGCATGGCATCCAATTATTTTTTGACATGGAGTTAGCTCAAATTTTAAATCCATCAGCCCTAAGATTAACATTAGCCAGTAAGATTCATTAGGCAAAAAAGCTCAAATTTTAAGGAAACTTTATGCAGCCATGAGTTAATTTCATTATTATTATTATTATTATTGTAGAAGACAAAGTTCATCTTGCTTGAAGTGAGCTAGTATATTTATTTTGAAAATGTCACACAACCTTCAATTTTTAGGCAATTTTTCAAACATCCAGAAAGTTGTGTCATATCTGATTGGAGAGGAAGAAGTATGAGTACGTATTGAGTAGTCTTAGATGAGCTTGCTTAGCTATTTAAACTGAGTTTTGTTGTCAACCTATTCAATATAGTCTTGGCCAAAAGTTCAAGACATTCACCCCCACCACTCCCTGACAAAAATGAACATTTTTCTATTATTGCAGGATAGTGTAAGATCCACTTTTACAAGGTACAAATATAAACAATATTAGATCTTCAAGTTTGTTGCAAATTGGTCAATGAAATTCAACTGTAGCAATGAATTGATCATTCACTTTTTTTCTCAAATTTATTACAATAATTTAAATATCTTCATTGTAGACTTAATTAAAAAATTAAAAAAATAACTTGAAGATACAGACTTGGCTAAAAGTTTAAGACCTCCCCCTCCTGACAAAAATGAACATTTCTCTATTACTGCAGGATATTACATCTTCATGTTTTAGATAATGTAAACAAATTACAATTATAAGAAATATGATATCATCTTCAATTTTGAAAGACAATTTAAGCTAGTTTGAAAGCTGTGAAGTTATTCTAAAGAACAACTTCTCATAAGTTTTTATACATTAAAAACGGGCAAATGATGGTCACTTTCTGGCATTCAATGAGTCTAGATAGCAACGCTGCATGGAGCCTAGACAGTAACACTGCACGGAGAGTGGTACTAAAGAGTGTGAAATCTCAGTCCAAATGCATTGTAGCAAGATTGAAGTTCACAATGCTATCACCAAGTACCAAACTGATGGCACTTATTCTGCTGAAAATAAAAGTGAACACTTCGGAAAAACAACCCTTAGAAATGATCATATCATCAAATCCATCGTTTTATAATCTTTGACAAGTCTACACAAAAAAAAATCTTTTGCTTAGGCTCTGTCGCCAATATTGAATACTCTTGACTTACAGTCATATTATGTTGAAATACTGGTTCCCATACAATCACTGAATTTAAGCAATGTAGAGCCTAGTCTGTATCTAGATGGGTAACCACTTTAGAATACCAAGTGCTGTAAGCTTGGATGTTCAGGTAGAGTAATGGATAATGGCTTGGAATTATTAATTAGGGAGCAGAGCTCCATTTCCTGTTAGGTTTATTTCATTCCCTTAATTGCAAATATGCTTGGGAAAGGTATGAATCCACCTCTTCTTACCCCCAGCTATGGGTTAATTAGTAAAACTTGTATCACTAAAAAAATAAATTTGCTGGCTTTAAATAATCTGCAATGGGCTGATAAGCCATAAAAGTCAAATCAATGAATCAAGCAATACTCTTAATCTATAAAAAATAACAAATTTCAAACAATATGTTTATGGTATAAATTATAGTTAATGAAAAGTAATTCAGAAAACATCCAATTTTTCTGCTAAAACAACCACTGAAAATTGATTAATGTACATTTCATTGATTCAGTTTTAGAATGTGATTAGATTTTTTTTTTTTTACTTTAAAAAAAAAATACACCTTAGGTTTTTAATTAGGTTTACACTATTAAATTACAGTTCAAAATGCAGTTTAAAATCAAATTGAAGACCTCTTGTGGTGAATCCCCAAACTAGGGGTTTCTTGGTCGGTCCATAGTTTTGAAGTACAGAAGCCTAAAAAGATTAAAAAAGTTGTTTTTAACCCTGTGCATTTAGGAAGCAAATGTATGGTATTACAGAAAACATTAACCTTAGTTTATTGATAAAATCACCCATTTTTTTAAAGGCTTCCATACTTAATTATTTGCATATTTGTCTTAAAGATGAATATATTTACATTTCTGACTGAACATTTGATGAAAATGCCGAACACAAAGTGATGGTACAGCAAATTGAATGCCCATTTTAAAGTTACTTTCCCCACTTTCATTTCCAATCTTTCATTTTTGCAAAACTGAGAAGGTTCCCAAAGAAAGAGAATTTTGATAAAGAACAAACTTTATCATAAAAACACATTTCATAGAAAAACATTCATTTTTACTTAACCAATTCTGTACCAAGATTATTTTTTTCTTTAAGACTAAAAACAAAACAAAAAAAATCAAAATCAAATTTTCTCTATTGAATTCTGTTTATTCACAAGTATTTTATTAAGAGGAAAGAAAAGTGAAAAACTTGATGTATGTTAAGGTGAAGGAGTTAAATTCGCCCGATTTGGATCAAGTCAATGAACAAAACTGTAAAAGCACGAAAGAAATCAATCCATAATTTCAAAAATAAATATTGATTTTTTTTTTCTTCTATTACAAAATCTACTTAATTTGAGAAAACATTAAAAAAAAAAAAAAAAATAAAGAATTAATTCTTTTAAATATTTATTAAAAAAAAAAAAAAGAGAAAAAAAAGAAGAATATCCAAAGAATTGCTGGAAGGTCATAAGTGGGGATTATTTAAGGCCAATATGCCAGGAGATAAAAAAAAAAAGCTTAAAATATTTCTTATAATTCTAACCTCTGAAATTATTCTAACCTTTCGTAAAAGTGTTTCTTTTAAGTCAAAGATCTAATCAGAGTTTCTGCAAATTTCAGATGCAATATCTACACGTGAAGATTGCATAATGGCTATTGATCATAGAAAGTGAAATTTACTAACTAATATCCTCATCTTTATGGTTACTATCACATTTCAGCCATTGTTCTCTCCAGCTATCTTCAGTGGATTGATTTATTTTTTATGGCTTGTCAACTCTTTGGAGTTTATTTAAATCAAGAAAATATTTTTAGATTGTAAGAATTTTTATTATTTTTTTTTTTGAGATAATGATTTAGGTGGTATAAATTAACCCATAGTTGGGGAGAGAGAGATGGATTCATACTTTTTCCAAGGTTATTTGCATGTAAGTGAATATAATGAACCCAACTGAAGTTGGAACTTTGTTCTCCAATTAACAATTCCAAATCATTATCCATTACACCACCTGCACATCCAAGCTGACAGCACCTGGTATTCTAAGTGGTCACCCATCAAGATACTGAACAGGCTCAGCATTGCTTAACTTCAGCGATTGTAAAGGAACCAGTGTTTCAACATGATGTGGCTGTAAGCCTTCAGATTTTTGTCAATTAGGATAACTTTCAGGGAATTTCAGACTGAACAATTTATTTAATTTATGGAAGAAGGTATATTAATTGACTGATTTATTTTTTATGGTTTATCAACCTTTTGTAGGTTATTTAAAGCCAGAAAAATATTTTTAGATTGTTAGAATTTTTTTTTGCAGATAATAATGAATACTGATACAAGTTATAGCTTAGAGGAGAAGAGATGGCTTATTTCTTTTTCATATACTAAATTTCACCTGATACAAGGCTCAACAGTCAGTCAAGGGAAATGGTTAGTCAAAATAGTAATGATGAATGAGGTGTGTGATATGAATGGAAGAAATTAAATAATTTTTTTTTTTTTTTACACTTTATCAACTCTTTGTCAGTTATTTAAAGCTGAAACATATTTTGGATTGTAAGAAGCATAACAATGATTTTTCCAGATACAAGTTCTACGATTTAACCCATAGCTTGCGGGCCAAAAATATATTCATATATTTCCCAAGGGTATTTTGCATATGAGTGAATATAAAAAAAAAATCACTAGAATTGAATTCTGAGCCGTTATCCATTACACAATTGGCACATTCAATCTTATAGCAGCTGGAATTCCCAAGCAGTCACCCATCTAGGTACTGACCATGCTCAACATTGCTTAACATTGGTGATCATATGAGAACTGGTGCTTCAATGCAACATGGCCTTAAGTTTATGGATGTAGAGTGCTCTCATTTCCCTGTCCAGGTCAAGAAGCATCTCATCTTGCATCATTTTGTAGTACTGCTGAGTTATTGCTGGTCCTGTTTCCACTGTTTTCCAAGTTTGCACTACCTGGCCCAGGGATTGAACACAAAATCACTATGCCACCAAATTAACAAAACAACACTTGAATCATCTAGAATTGGCATATGGGGTTCAAACTTTGACCAAGTTTCTCTTTTTCACTCCAGAAAAGCTTGGACCCATCTTCTCCCCACATATGGGTTAAATAGCAGAGCAGATTGGGCTCTCTTACCTTAGGTTCCAGCTAGTCTAGGAGAAGGAAAATTTTCAATTCATACTCTGTAAATAATAGGGCAGGCTAGGTTTAGCATTGTTTGGAGGGAGGTAATCAGTCAAATAAAAAGACAATTTTGAATTCAAAACCAGCCTGAAGTGAGATGGGCTCTGTCAGTATCTTGCCTTAGCTACACTCAATCCTGCTTTGGCTGCAATACATGTAGTCTCCCAATAACCCCAATGGGATACAAGACTAGTGATCATGATACCTGTATAAAATGCAGTATATGTGCACACACACAGCATTTTATTTTAGCTATTAAGGTTTGGTTTTCATCATGTCAGATACTTTTTTTGTTAGCAGGAACATTGGGGCAAAGTAATTTAATCCAGATTAGCCATGAGTTGGTATTTATTCTTAATTTTTCAACCAGGTTGCCTGATTGTTTTGAGGAGAGGTTAAAATTTTTGTTATGGCTTTTGACAGTTTGTGGGGAGCACTACCAATATATGACATAATGGGGCATATCAGAATGTCTGCTTTGTGAGTTTTAGAGACCATAAAATTTGGGTATTAAAGCAGTCACGTTGTGTGTGTGTGTGTGTGTGTAAATAAAACTTTTCAAAGAGCATACAGATACTACACTGATCCTAGAGCCTATGGATGCAACACTGGTCCAAGATAGGGCAGCAACTGGTCATAGGCAGGCTGCTGAGATGCCAGAGCCAAGTGCAGAACCATACATAAATAATCATTTCACTTCTTTTTTTTTATGGGTTCACTATTAATATATAAATAAATCAAAGTGGGGAGCCTGATTTTTATGTTTTATTCTATCAAAATACAATAAGAGAGTTTGTGATTAATAATTTCACTAAATGAAAGCATTAATATCATGTGTATTCATTCACCACAATCCCTAGTTGATCGCACCCCCTGCCTGGTCCAATGCTTATGCTTCATTCCTTAAAAATCTGGATATGTGTAAACCAATAGAAATGAATAAAAAGAGCCAGAGGCCAGGCTCAACAACCTCAAATACAATTCATAAGAAAATCAATGGTTGGAATTCCCCCTGCCACTTTTCGTTTCTCTTTGATTTGTGTTTCTGTAGCCTAAGCTTGCCAAAAAGCTTTTCATACTGTTCACAATATATAGAGCAGAGTAACTAATATTCAATTCACAGCATTTAGTGATTTTTTTATTTATTTCTTTTTCCATAAACGAAATATGTTTTAAATTGTGAATATGCTCGAAGTAATCACGAGAACAGTTAATTGTAAATGACCTACTTCTGTTGTTGCAGTACAGAGTTATCTTTCCTTAGTGCTTTCCATTTTTATTTGCAGAAAACAAGCAAATGGTATTTGTTTTCTTTTTTAGGAAATGCTAACACAAAACATCCAGTGTACAAGACTTTTGAGATGAAGCATCATTACAAGAATGCTTGCAAATATATTTCAATAATTCTCAATGCCAAAAAGGTAACCAAATATAGTCTGAAGTTCAAAGATGAACTACTGTCATTATTCCATTAATTATTCAAACTTGCAATCTCACTTTTGTTTTTATTCAACTATTTTTATTTAATTATTTTGGCCAGTTGGTTCACAAGCTTGCCTTGGGTTGCCAAGACTTCTAAGATGAAGCACTAACATTATTCCATTAATTATTTAAACTAGTATCCCCATCTTTGTTGTTTTAAAAACTGCTTTATGAACACTGCAACATTCTTTATATGGGTATCATACATAACATTTGAAATTTGTCTACCTCTCTCTTGTTACATCATTAATGTACGGAAGAGTGGCAATCCTAAATTTGGCAACAATGAACAAAAATAAATACTAAACTTACAGGATGCAAAGAATTACAGAGACCCCAGCTGAAACATTATTTAAAAATCAATAATAATTTGTCAACAAAAAGAAGAAACTAACATTCAAATTACAAACTGGAGATGCCAACTGGAGAGTACAAATATTTAGGTATCTAGGAAGACACCAAAATCTGAAGATACATTGGAATAGCAAAAGATGCCTTCTGAAATATAAGCATAGTATTAACAGGAAAATCTTGTTAGAAACAAAGAAAAGAGTACTTAACTGTTATGTAATTTTGGTCCTCATATAGAAGTGAATGCTGGACAATCTCCTCGAAGATGAAGAGATTTAAGGTGAAAGAAATGTGGTTCTACAGAAGGATGAGAAGAATATCCTGAACTGAGCATGTGAGCAACAACAAAATTTTCGAGAAAATGGGATCAAAAAGAACACATAACATCAGTAGGAGACAGTTGAAATTTCTAGGGCACATAATGAGGAAAGCAGACTTAGAAAATTTAATACTCACAGGACATATTAAAGGTAAGGAGGACAGAGGAAACTAGCACAATCTACCTAACACACTTTCTGTAAACAGTTGGCAGTACAGGGATTAGCAAAGAGATAAAATTTACTAAGAGTTACAAAGGACAGGAAATCATGGAGAGCCATGATTGCCTATATCCTGAAGAGATACAGCACATAGAAGAATATGAACCTGAATATAATTAATGGGATAACTAACCAAATCATATTTGCTTCATAAGTTTTAATTGCACCAGCTGCAATAGGTTTGAGTTAAAAATGTAACATCTTAATTAAGTTTACACATTAATCATATTTAGCTGACAGCATAAAACAAGAAAGTTAAATATATACTCAGAAAGCTTGTAAATTTTAACGCCCCTAAAACAAAACTGCTTTCATTTAACCACCACAGAGAACCTTTTCTGCCTGCCATCATCACGGCTGATGTTAGACTCCAGGAGAACAAGACATTACGCATTCTTGGCTTCATGTTTTCCACTGACATGAAAATGAGCAGCTACATTAAATCAATTGCTCAGTCTACTGCTCCGAAAAATGGCATGCCAGAAAGTTTTTTTTGTCAGAATCCATCTTGCACATTTAGAAAGGGTGCTCCAATAACTTGGACAGATTTTAAATGTGAATTAAGTTTAAGCATCTAATGATTTTTTTTCCCTTTCAAATTTAACAATTTAAGTCTTTGACAATTTCAATTTGAATTGAATGCTATGGATGCTGAAGATTTGTGGGTCCAACAGGATGGCACCACATTCTACACAGCCAATGCAAAAATGGCTTTATTGAATGAGAACTTCCCAAGTCACATCATCTCTCGAAACAGCAAAGTCAATTGGCCACCACAATTGTACGACTTGACGCCTTTAGATTTCTTCCTTTGGGGTCATCTCAAAAGTAAGGTCTAAGCCAACAACAATTCAACAGCTGAAGGATGAGATCAAGGAGCAATTATGCAGATATGTCATCAAAAATTTTGATCATCGAGTGGAGGTGTGCTGCTAAAGCCTTGGCAGATATTTGGGTGATATTATTTTTCACATGTAATTGACATGATTCAATAAAGAAATAAAGAAATTTTCATCTATAACACAGATTTATTTACTGCTGACTTTGATCCGTCTTAATGAAACACCCTTTATATCTACCATTAGTCCATGCATGGAATATTGCTGCCATATCTGGTCTGGTGATCTTTCAGTATATCTCAAGATTCTTGACAAAATTCAAAAAAGGTTTGTAATGTAATCAGTCTTGATCTAGCATCTAAACATCAGTCATTTTCTCACCAACTTAATGTGGCTTCCCTCTGTCTTTTCTACAAATATTTTCATGGCAACTGTTCAGATTAGCTTTTTTTTCCCTAGTGCCTTGACTGTATGAATTTAAGTCAGCTACTAGATTGGCAACTAGGTCTCACCATTTTACTGTTAAACTAGCTATATGGAAACCACCACTTTTATTCTGACAGTTTCTTTTTCTCATATTTCTCACATGCCACTTATAATCTTCAAAAATTTAAATGCAAACATCAATCACCATCTTCTGTCTTCTTAGACTCTACCCCTTTATTGTACTTCTACTCACTTCTAGGGAAAAAAAAATTGAAATAAAATTGAAAAATCCCCCCACCCCAACCTATAAATGTTATAATGGTATGCATATAAAAAATATTTTTCAGAATATATGTAGAAAGAGCAGTGTAGGTAAAATAGTTTTGTATTAAAATAAAAAAAATGGAGAGAGAAAAAAAACTGATGCACAGTCGATGTCTAACTCTGAATACATTAGTTTATTTTGCTTTGTTGCTTTTAAGTAGACAATGTAAACTTAACAAATCAGCAGGTTTTTTTCAATATTTCAAGATTAGATTTTTAAATTAATACACATTTCTTTAAAGCCAGTTGGCTAATTAAAGATTAACCAACTAAAAAGAAAACTTAAAAGAAAAAAAATTATGCATAAATGTTGGCCATGCATAAAATCAAACAACTAAATATTTAAGATAAACTAGGTTTCAAGGACAAACAGCCTTTGTTTCAAGTCATTTATATTCTAACATCTTTGTGAACAATAAATTTGCCCCCACCTTTCCAAACAAAATAATTCCAGTGATCATGAATTTATACAGCCTTCTTAAAATTCACATAAAGAAGTGCAATTCTTGGATTCACTGGAAGAATTTTAAATCATTGTTACTCTAAAGATGTAACAAAAAAAAAAAAATAATAATCCATATACAAAATGCAGGACTGTTAAACAACACAAATTTATACTCCAAGAATTTGAAAAGACTCTTTAAAAGTAGACAATTGATACTGATGAAGTGGAGTCAAAGAAATCAACCACATTTACAAGGAATGCAAAATAAAAGTAGCTAACAAGAAAGATTATATATATATATATATATAAGTATATATATATTGAGGCAAGTTTCTGCTTATTTTCAACAGGATCTGTTCATATTCTTGGATGAGCTTTCTAGTGTTGGTATTAAAAGAGAGAAAATTACCACATTGATAGATATTGTCTTATTCCAAGTACTTTCGACAATAAAACAAACTCATCCTCAGGGTGTGTTTTTAAGACAAAATGTAGTGTGCATTATTTCCAAAGACAAAATTGCTATTTTCATCTGAAAGTTATAACTTTACATGTGGAGTGAGTACCACTAGTTTTTGTGCCATGCAGTATATGTTACACTCTAGGGGAGGTAACTAATTATGATGTGTAAAGAGTTCTTTTTTCTTTTTCTTTTTTTTTAAAAAAAAAAAAAAGGAGAAAATAGTACGAGAAGATATTAATATAGACCTTGATATTTTAGTCTATCTAATGTAAACATTTTAGAATATTTGTGCAGTATTCATAATTAATTTTGTTATGGTTTAGTTTCAATTTTTTAATATAGATGGCTTCAAGGATTTTTAGTTTATTTTTATTATTTTCATGAGAAAGTATGGATGTATTTTTGACAAGAATTTTTCTAAATTTCAAATGTGGACAAGCATATTGTAAATGTTTAGAGATGTTAGACATGTCATTCAAATGAAAACTCAACCACAGAGACAACATGGTTGTAGCATGGCCAACATAAATATTTTTTCCATTGAAGATACAATCTTCCAGAGACATTTAAATTTATATACAATGTTGGTAGGGAAGAGTAGTTCTGAATGATTAAGTGGGAGATACTGGATTTATATTGAGAGAGTTGTCTGAAGATCATAAGAGTGTGAAACTTAAGTAGGGACTTGTTGACGGTTCACGTGAAGAGTTTTTGTTCTGTCTGGATAGCCTAGACATTAAGCATTTTAATTTACTGGTAAAGTAGGTGTTTGTCTTTAGGTTTTTTTTTTTTCTTAGGTTTTTTCTTGTCTAAGGTTTTAGGTCTTTTGGCATGTAGTCAGTTGGTTATGAAAACATTTTTGGATTTTTGTATTACGTTAAAATATATATAGTTAAACTATAGTCCATGAAGACAACATTTATATTTGAATATAACTGATTAATTATTTTACGTCTTAAGCAGAAAGTTTTCATGGATATAGTCAGAGGACATGCAGGCAGTATAATGGATATCAGCTTGGAAGGAGAAATCGGAGAGTTGAGTTTGAATTCCAGTTGGGGTCATTATATTCACTTGTGCAAATACCCAATTTGGGTTGGGAAAAGGCAGAAAGAAATCCATCTCTTGAGAACTTGACTCCTCAATTATAGGGTAAGGGTCTACAATGCAAATGAGGGAAAAATCAACATTTAACGTAAAGAGAACTTTCAACTTTTTTTTTTTTAACACATTGCACCAATGAGAAATAAGCAAATGGCAAATTAAGTGGGCAGGTCCGAACACAAGGAAGAATTTCTAATAAGGAGGAAATGCAATGACCAAAAATAGAGTTAGTATTTGCTGTTTGGCAATCGAAGTTTCAAATCAGATAAATAGCTGCAAAAGTAATCATATTTTGTGAGGGGAAAAACATGTACACTGAAATTCCAACCCAATGTCAACATATAGATACCAACCAAGCAAGAAAAGAAAACAAACAAGGAAAATCAATTGAAACCATGCTAAGTGAGTCATAAATGAAAGTCTTATGTCTCTGCCTTAGAAAATGGCTAAGAAGACGAGTGATGCCAGCTTACATCACATGTAACTGTGGAGCACTCTACTTTAAGATTACTTATTGGTTTCAGTCAAGGGTGACTATAAGGGCAACAGTGTTCTTTTTTTTTTGTTTTGTTTTTACTGCTTGTACAGATAATGTGATTATGGAAGAAAGGGTGGTTTGCAACTGAAGAAATATTTTGTCAATATATTTAGCAATGGAACAGAGTGCTGGGAATTCATGCCTTTCAGATTCAACTTATTCACTTGGTAACCTTCAATGCCAACTCAAACCTCCAATAAAAATTACTACTACAATAATTAATAGAATTTGGTATTTCCATGCATGTCAGGCTTATGGCCATATCATGTTGAAACACAACTTCTCATATGACCACCAAAGTTAAGCAATGTTAAGGCTGGTCAGTACCCAGAGAAGTGACTGCTTAGGAAGATCAGGTGGTATATAATAGCTCAGAATTGGAAATCAGAGACCTGAGTTCCAATTCCAGTCAGGTTTGTTAAATTCACTAACATTCAAATGCCCTTGGGAAACATATGAATCCACTTCTCATCAAGCTATGGGTTAATTAGTAGAACTTGTATCAGTAAATCATTATTATCTCAAAAAAATCTTAAAATGTAAAAATATTTTGTCTTTAAATAACTTGCAGAGTATTGGCAAGCCATAAAAAAAATCAAATAAAAAAAAAAAATAAAAAAAAATAAAAAAATAAAAAAAATAAAAAATAAAAATGAAAAAATAAAAATAAAAATAAAAAAATAAATAAAAAAATTTTTTTAAAAAAATCAAAAAAAAAATTTTAAAAAATTAAAAAAAATTAAAAAAAATAAAAATTAAAAAAAATAAAAATTAAAAAGAAAAGAAAAAAATCAATCAATTCTAGTCCTGTCGCTTATCTGAGATATGAAGATTTCCAGAGATCATTATTCAAGAACCAGGATTTTAAAGGTTGGTTTGCAAAGTACCCTCACTTGGAATATTGTCAAATGCAGTTTTCTTACCCTACTCTGACTTTGTGACATGTTAACATACATATAAATACAAACTGATGTGAGGACAGGGGATCAATTGAGTAAATACCGTGAATGATTCATAAACACAAAAGTGACAATAGAAAGAAGGTATTATTTGGGGATATTTCTGAAACCTAATATTTCTTTATGGAATAATCTTTTAAACTCACGCGAGAAGTGGCATCTCAGAAGACTTTATCATTCGAACACTGATTACCATATTTTTTTGAATATAAGATGCACCGGTGTATAAAATGCAACCTTATTTTGAAGACAAAGTTATGGAGAAAAAAGTTAGTTTTGTTTTTAAAATTCTTATTGAACAAAAATTCAATCTGATACTTTAAAAATTAGCAAAACAGTGAAAAAAGAAAGAAAAAGAAAAATAATGTAAAAAAAAAGAAAAGAAAAAAAAAAGGAGGTTGCTGTTTCTTTCTGCGGTAGACCAGTTGCCATCCAAGGTTATAGAACCTGGTCTGTCCTGCTATTTACCCATGGGGGGTGGAGAGAGAGAGAGAAGAGCAGAATTCCTTTCTGAAGGGTATGAGCACGTAAATGAATGTAATGGATTCAACTGGAATTTGAACTCAGCTCTCTGATTCCGCAATCTGAGCCGCTATCTATTACTCGATGTAAATTCAAAAACCACGTAGGCAGTGACTGGCCACAACTATATTTCATGTGTTTGCATGTAATCGTCAGGTAGCCAGTGGCTGTAGTATGGCATTGAACACTTTTATGCCAGTAGGCTACTTCTGGGCAGACTCTTTTCAGAGCTGCTCATTCTTTCCTGGATATATATATATATATATATATATATATATATAAAAAATTTCAGGACTTCTTTATAATTATAGAGAAAACTTACAGAAAGACAAGACAGTCTATGTTGCTTTGTGGCTAAGCCAAGGACAATTCTAAGTCAGTTGGCTCCATCTTACAAAGACAATTCTCATATAAAGCCAGGATTTAGGAAACATGCTACAATTATAAGAGCATCTTCTATAGAGAAAAGACAAAGTACAAGTGGACAGGCTTGGAAAAGGACGGAAAGAGCTGAAAAGGAAAAAGAATTTTACAAAGCAAAAGGAAGTGGAAAATAAATTAAAAGATAAGGAAAATCAAAAAAGAACCTCTAACTCATAGTGAAGTAATGTTCATTGATGGCTTAAAGGAAAAGCTGATAATAAAAAGGAACTGAAGAAGGATAAAGGTGGGGAATTGGTTAGGGTTTAAGGGGAGTTGTCAGAATTGAGTATTCTCTGTTCATGAATGATTTATGAGGCAGAACAAATAATATTAAGTTAATCAGGAAAAAGAAGGCATTTCAGTTTTTGCAACCATTTCAGTAAAAAAGGAAGAGAAAAAAAAAAAGTGAAAAAAGTGGAAATGCTGAGGAGAGAAAGGTGGAATGATAAGGAAAAATAGGGAGGAGTGTGGAAAAAATACAGAGTGTTTGGAAAAAGAGAGAGAGAGGAAAAGGAGCGTATAGAAATAGAGGAGGTAAGAAAGGGAGAGAAGAAGAAGATAAAAAGACAAAAAGAAGAGAGCAAAGGGAAGAGAGAAATAGACAAAGAGAAGAAAGGATGAAAAACACAAATAGAAGGGAGAAAAAGAGAAACAGACAAATAGAAGGGGAGAAAAGAGAAACAGACAAATAGAAAGGGGGGAAAAGAGAAACAGACAAATAGAAAGACAAAAAACAGACAAAAGAAAGGGGGGAAAAGAGAAACAGACAAATAGAAAGGGGGAAAAGAGAAACAGACAAATAGAAGAGGGGAAAAGAGAAACAGACAAATAGAAGGGGGGGAAAAGAGAAACAGACAAATAGAAGAGGGAACAAACAGACAAATAGAAGAGGGGAAAAGAGAAACAGACAAATAGAAAGGGGGGAAAAGAGAAACAGACAAATAGAAAGGGGGGAAAAGAGAACAGACAAATAGAAAGGGGGGGAAAAGAGAAACAGACAAATAGAAGGGGGAAAAGAGAAACAGACAAATAGAAGGGGGGAAAAGAGAAACAGACAAAAAAAGGGGGAAAAGAGAAACAGACAAATAGAAGGGGGGAAAAGAGAAACAGACAAATAGAAAGGGGGGAAAAGAGAAACAGACAAATAGAAAGGGGGGAAAAGAGAAACAGACAAACAGAAAGGGGGGAAAAGAGAAAGACAAATAGAAGAGGGAAAAGAGAAACAGACAAATAGAGGGGGGAAAAAGAGAAACAGACAAATAGAAAGGGGGAAAAGAGAAACAGACAAACAGAAAGGGGGAAAAGAGAAACAGACAAATAGGGGGGAAAAGAGAAACAGACAAATAGAAAGGGGAAAAGAGAAACAGACAAATAGAAAGGGGGGAAAGAGAAACAGACAAACAGAAAGGGGGGAAAAGAGAAAGACAAATAGAAGAGGGAAAAGAGAAAGAAGACAAAGAGAGGAGGGAAAAACTGCAAGATTATTAAAGAAGAAGAGAAAATAAGAAAGAATAAAAGATTATGAAAAAAGAAGGAACACAGTGATCAGCAAAATAAAAAAGCTATCATATAAGCATATAAATGACACTAAGAAATTGTATGTATAGGAAAGAATCTTTGGATATTTGCAAAGATTTACGACAGCAACTATAGCAATAATAAATAATATTAACTAAGAAGGAGTGGCTGATTCAGAAACATTGAAATCTTCCTCAAATAAACTGACCTGGGAATTTATTTACAATGAGGGCAACTGTACTTGGATGTCACATGCAACATGGCTATTTAGTATTAGATAATGACTAGTAGATAAAACTACAATATTATGTAGTGGTACTAATTGTAAGTTAAAAGTTCCAAAATAAACAATTTGTTTTTTGGTTTTTTTTAACACAACTTGGGATTTTGCCCAGTACTTTGGTTAATTAATTTTTGTGTCAGAATTAGTACTTTAGTTGAATGGTGGCTTGAATTTTTAATACTTGGTTCTAACAAATATCAGATTTGTGTTATATTAATAAGCACCCTGAGTCTCATAGACAAAACTTTTTGTAATCGTTTGGTTCACTCATCAGGAGGTATCAGCAATTATTTGCCAATTTTCTCATTTTTGTTATTTTTATATTAATAAGGATATTTCAATGTACACTAAAGGCCGAAAGTGTACCCTACCCCAGGATTTACAAGTATCGCCTAAAAATTGAAGGTTTCGTGCCTTTTTCAAAACTAATTTACTAGCTAACTTCAGGCCAGAATGACTTTACCTTCCTGAAGTGTTTCATCATATATTCAAACAACAACAACAATTATAATAATAATCTATTACTGCATAAAGTTTCCTTAAAACTTTATCAGATTTTTTTGCCTAATCTACTTTGCTAGCTAATGGTAATCTTAGAGTTAGCAGATTTTAAATTTAAGGTAATCCCCTCTCTAAAAATTGGATGCCAACCACTAATGGCCTAATAGGATTTAATTAAGCCAAAGAAGGCATGAAACTTACTAATTAATAAATCCAGCAGGACTATAATGAAACTAGTAGAATTGATGATACAGTATTTATTAACTATTTTTTATTAATTTTAAGTTATTCTTTCTTTTCTTTTCTTCGGTTGTTTGCCACACAGACGTTAGTAGTGGAGTTGCTCAAGATTCACTCAAATTGGAGTACACTTGCTCAAGGTTCACTCAACTTGGAGTACAGTTGTTCAAGATTCACTCAAATTTCAGTGCAGTTGCTTAAGAAAAAAAAATCTTTTACTATAAGGGCATCTTAAAATGTTTACAATTTAGAAAATTAAATATAAAAAATATAGCAAAATAAAATAATACCTTTTTCCTATTTTTTCTGACACATAGTGAGAAATTCAAGAATATTCATACAATAATATTAAGAACTTGGAAATGTTTCTTCATAAACTTGATTCAGATCAGCTTATACACAAACTGGCAAATGTAATAAAAAAAAAAATTAAATAAACTGACCTTGCCAGCATATTAAAAAAAAAAAAAAAAAAAAAACAAAAACAAAACAAAAAAACAAACATAAATGAGTCCTTGTTTTCTATCATTATTATTATTATTATTATTATTATTTCCTTTGATTTCTGGTGTGTACTCATTTCTTTCCGGGTCCTGCCCAGAGACCTAAGGTTAGAAATGGCATCATGATATTTTCCAGTCCAATTTAAAAAAAAAAAACAAACATAAAACACACACACATTTTACATAGATAAAGGTGTACTTGTGAGAACAATATTTTGTTTTTCTTTAAGGCATGGGCTTCCAGGAATCCCTTCAATGAGTCTACTGGAATCAATTCCAACCAATCCGAGGGCTGCAACTACAACAGGAATTGCTGATGTTCCCCTGTACCACATTTTTGAGATTTTGATTTCAAGGTCCTTGTATTTTGATAGCTTTTTGAAGATCTTCAAAGATACATTGTAGTCTGCAGGGACTACCATATCAATAATTATCATTATTATTATTATTATTAGCAACAATAACAAATTACTTACATATAAACTCAAAGTCAGACTTTCATGGAAATTTTTACACCCAGTCTTTGTTGGATTTCTCAGTGGATTAAGTTTATTTATATAGGGATCATTTATTTTTATTTTTTTAGAAGAAAAAATTTTTTTTTAAGGCATATCATTTTAAAAATAATATTAAATTCTAGATTAATATGCAAGAATAAATTTTAATTTGGCCAGTTATAATTAGATAAGTGAAAAGTTAACGGAATAGTGAATTTTCTGTTTAGGTTTTGTAATTAGATTAAATTTTAATATTAAATTCATGGTAACCAATCCAATTGTCTACAAACCATGAGGATGTTTCTGGAGGATTAAAATGCTGGAGTACAAAACTTTAATTTGTGTTAATAATCAATTAGCGAAAAGCCTCCAATTATTCATAACAAATATTTTTTAATTGTTTATTTTATTTTATTTTTTTAATGAATGTGGTTGGTGATGATTTAGTATATTTACTAAGTTGAACTGAAATCATCAACAATATTTATAAAACAAAAATTTATAAAAGCTAAAGAATCTTGTTAGTGTTTGAGGTTTAAAACATTTCATAAAGATTTATTTTGCTGTAAGTTGTGCTATGAGAAAATGAATAGCTGATTATCTAAGCAAGCAAATGTTCTGATATAAGTTTAATATTTAGAATTGCGTATTTCCATAGACAGATAAGAAATTTGAATTTCATGCTTCCTTGCTGAACAGAATATTCAATTTTCCAAAATCAAACCTTATTCAAGCGGAGTTGCCCCTTTCTGGATATAATTGTCACTGGTGATTGTTATAAAAAGAGATCTGACAAAGCATTTCAGAAATTTTATCAATTTGCAATTTTTGTTTTTCAGTTCTTCTCTTCTGTTGTAGAATAGTTTTCACAGTGGAGGCTTGTATTTCGCTAAGTCGGTCCTAAAAGGGTCCGACATACAAAACGTTAGGAACTTGAAATAAGAGTTAATGACACAGCAATCTAGTTGTGATGGTTGATACTTCAATGTCCGGCATCGACTGACTCGCTCAACTCCACTGAGCTCAACTGGCGACCGATACTACTACTACTACTTATTATATGTGGGAGAGTCTATCAATAATAGAATAGGTACGTTCAGGTATGACATCTTCTCAACTAAATATTATTCAATCAAACATGTTTGCATATATTAACAAGCTCTGCCTATCCAATTGTAGAAAAATCTACACCAATCTATTCTACACCAATTTTTTTATTAACTTTTTCAAATTTCCAATAGTCAATGACAAGAGAAGCAATGAACATTAAATAAGGTATTTTTCTTCAGAGGGGATTGTACAAGGTGTGGCAGAAATACCACCCACATAATGGTAAGTCATTAGCTAGATGAAGACATCATTGTCACTAATGTCTTACCATTATGTGGGAGAGATTTCTCTTGTAACCTATGTACTTAAGTTTATATAATAAAACAAAATACACATAAAAAACCTTGTGACATAAAATTGGTTCCAGCAAGCATGAGAATGTGGGAATTAACCAAAAACAGTTCCATAGACAGACATAAAAAAAAAATCAGAATCCTTGTGAACGAATGGAGTAACATTCAAAGGTACTTGTGGGTAGGTGTTGATAAAATAAAATGAACTTTTGTAAATTTACTGACTGCATAAAACAATTCAGAAATTCGAAAAAGTTAAAAAATTGAATAGACAGAACTTGTCAATATTATTCAACCAAAGATGTTTGAAAGAGAGAGTGAGAGAAAGAGAGCAAGAAAGAACGAGAGATACAGAGAAAAATAAAGAGAGAGCTAGAGAAGAAATAAAGAGAGAGCTAGAGAAGAGACAAAGAGAGAATGAGAGAGAGAGATTTCACACACACGTTCTAAAATAAAATTCCTACATTTGCCTTGACATAGTACAAGGAATGAAATGCATCAGCATAAGTTTCCATTGTAATATTGTATATACAAAAATGTTGGTGTGACCAACAGACTACCTGCCAACAAATGTCCTAAAACCTTAGACAAGAAAAAATCCTAAGAAAAAAAAAAAAAAAAAAGAAAAGTCCAACACCTAGGTTAACAATAAATTAAAATACTCAGTGCCTATGCTATCCAGACAGAACAAAAATGATTCACGTCAACCCTCAACATGGCAAAGCTTGAGTCCCTTCTCTATCTCAATATATATATATATATATATATAGTATCTGCATTTGCACCCACAGAGCCAATCTATGGTTTAAACGGCAAATTGGGTCAAATTGTGACATGGCTTTCTGAAACTTACCAACAGAGAGCCATATGCTGGGATCATCTCCCAAGGCTGATATTATCCCCTGGATAAATTGACCATAGTGAAATTCAGATTTGGGTTTCATGGTTGGTTAGAATGCTAGCTTTCAAATCATTGAGGCATGTACACAAACAAATAAACAATATGGCAAGATTCTTATATATCAGAAACAATTTTAGGAGGAAAAAGCTATGCTAAAATTTTTCCACTTCGTCAGTTTTTTTGTTTATATATATATATATATATATATATATATGTGTGTGTGTGTGTGTGTGTCTGACTTCCAACACTGAAACAAAAAAAAGTAGGAACTAGGTCAATAACTTTTCAGCACCAGACTGTGCATGCACATGTGTGTAATATGAAAATGCATTAGAAACAAAAATTTGCCACAATGATCTTGGGCACACAGGCCCTAGTACTTCAGCAGAAATTGAATCAATGTTTTCAGGGGTAGAGGGGGCACAAAATCCCCCTCCCAAGTACTAACTTAATTACAAAGGTTAACAGTGGATGGCTCCAATAATTTGAGTTTTCAGGCCATGCTCGCTAATAATTAAGAGGTTATCTTATCAAAGCCATTTGAGCCAATGATTACAAATTCTTCTGCTGTGGAGAGGGGGATACAAAACGTACCATTTATACTCTGATGGCATACTACTGAAATTGAAATCTTTCCTTAAGTTTCTAAGAAGATAAATTTTCTAGTAAGAAGATAATAATTAAAAAAAAAACAATAAAAATCTTCAAAGACATAACTTTTCTTCTCAACTCAATAGATGATGATTCAATTTAAAATAAAGAAAAAACAAAAAAAAAAGAAGAAAAAACAACAAACAATTGATTTTGGATTTATGCAAACAAATGAAAGTCATATACAAAAGACAGGTGACTGCAAAACATGTAGGTAGTATCTTCAAAGAACCAGCAGATGGCAACTTTTACAGAGAGATGGGTTGCCGGGAATCTTTCAATTAATTAGAATTGAATCAAATATTGACAATCTATGAGGCAGCTGCTCAGTTGGTGGCTGGCAGCCATTTATTTGTCTTTCTGTCGACCAATTGATTATTTGCCTTTTAAAAAAGAAACAGGAAGACATAAAAAGCCAATAAGACAAAGAAATTCAAATTCAAAAAGATTAAATTTAGGCCACTCACTGAAAGAGAGAAGGAGAGGAATGTGGAAGGGAGATTTACGTAGAAGAATTTGCAGGGAAGACTTTAGTAAAAGGAAATAGAGAGAAAGAATATGGGAAGACTAGCTGGAAGTGAGTGACAGAGATTGAAAGTATGCCATAGAGAGAGAGAGAGAGAGAGACACTGATGCCAGAGAGAGAGAGAGAGAGAGAGAGAGAGAGACACTGACTAGCTCGGAAAGAGAGAGAGAGAGAGAGACACTGACTAGCGGAGAGAGAGAGAGAGAGACTGACTAGAGGAAAGAGAGATAGAGAGAGAGACACTGACTAGCTCCGAGCGGAAAGAGAGAGACACTGACTAGCTCCGAGCGGAAAGAGAGAGAGAGAGAGAGAGACGAGGAAAGAGAGAGAGAGAGAGAGACACTGACTAGCTCCGAGCGGAGAGAGAGAGAGAGAGAGACACTGACTAGCTCCGAGCGGAGAGAGAGAGAGAGAGAGAGACACTGACTAGCTCCGAGCGGAAAGAGAGAGAGAGAGAGAGACACTGAAGTGAAAGAGAGAGAGAGAGAGACACTGACTAGCCTGAGCGGAGAGAGAGAGAGAGAGACACTGACGGAGAGAGAGAGAGAGAGAGAGAGACACTGACTAGGCCCGAGCGGAAAGAGAGGGACACTGACTAGCTCCGAAGCGGAGAGGGACACTGAAAGGAGAGAGAGACACTGACTAGCCGGAAAGGAAAGAGAGAGAGAGAGACACTGACGGAAAGAGGAGAGAGAGAGAGACACTGACTAGCTCTGAGCAGAAAGAGAGATAAAGAGAACATAGATAGAAACTTGTATAGAGAAAGTAAGAGAATAGCAATCAGAGTAAGTGAGTGATTTGTGCAGAATCGTACATTAGAGTGACATAAGCATAAACAGGAAAAAATGTGCAAAACTGAAAGAAAGAAAAACTTGCAATGAGTGATTGACAGAATATTTTAGCGAGACTAAATACAGTCTTGCATAGAGAGAGGGAATTATTTACAAAGATTATTCTAAAAAGAGAAATAAATACAGAGAACATGTTTTTAATTTTAAAAAAGTTAGATAGATAGCATTTTGGAGAGAGAGAGAAAGAGAGACATTGAAATTGCTTGTAAGATTAAAATTGAGCAAGAAGTAACCATATACATGTTATAGAGCAAAGAGACCAACAAGAGATTGGTAATTATACTTCAGAATAAATGCACACAGATTATGTCCAAATTTTTTTTTCTTCTTCTCAGTGAACAACTTAGCCAAGTAACCTTGATCCAACCACTAATATGACATCACACCTCTTCAGCAACTGTCTATGCCTAACACTCTTCTCAACAAATTTTTCAAGACAAAAATCAATGCTACCACACTTGACTGCACAGACAGGGAATGCTATGCAGAGAACAAACACCTGTTTGCATTGCAACTGCCACTAAATATTGCATTTTTTGTTTCGCTATTTTAGAATTAAATTCTCATGGTGATTAATTAATTAGGAATGAGCAGAGATGTGCTGAAAAAAAGAAACTTGTTTTTGTTTAAGTAAACCTACACAGATCTTCAAATCAAAACCCAATGTTTTTGTTTCTTTTTTAAAGATCAGACAAGTGGCAAATTAAACTATTTGACAAAGTCGCAGATTTTGAGGAGAAAGCTCCAATATGGTTTACTTTAAAATGGCTACAGCAAAAAACAACAAAAACAATAACAGCATTTTCAATATATTTTTCTAAATATTAGTCATAAATAATTTCCATTGTTCTTTATCAAATACATTCATAATAAAATAAAGTATAATTATATTTTAAATTATACAGGGTGTGACAGAAATACATTCCACATAATGGTAAAACATTAGTGGCAATGATGCCTTCATCAAGCTAATGTTTTACTGCTATGTAGGCGGTATTTCCATGGATATTCACCATTATTTGTAATGACTTGTTGCCACTTATCAAGCAGTTCTTCAATATGTTTTGAGTAAAATTCTGCAGGTTTTAATACAAAAAACCTTTTGATGAAATCTTAAATCTGGCTTACATTAGGGAAATTTTTCTCCATTTAAGTGCTTTGTACTGATTGAAAAAGGTAATAAAAAAAAATATCAGTTGATGTAAAGTCAGGTAAATATGGTGGATGAGATAGAAGAAACTAACCAACTTCCATGATTGTTTCCTATGTTATCCTTGTTGCATGTGGCCTTGCATTGTCATGGAGGAGAACAATATTTTTCCTTTAATCCACTGTGTACACTGCCACTGCTGTGCAAAAACTAAAGTATATTAGTCTACTCCAAATTTATTCTTAACTGGAACCGAAAAACAAGAAATTACTTATGACTCTTCTCTCTGATGGAGTAGGAATTTTCAACTCTTGGCTTTCTAACACGCTTATATAGATATTACCATTTGAAATTACTAGTGAAAGGGAGATAACTAGTAGGATAAAAAGTAAGACACTACAGAAAAAAACAATTATAATTACATTTGATATATTATATAAGCATGTACTGCAAAGCCTGATTAAGCAAGTCATAAAAATATTCTGTTTAATTATTTAGTCAATCAAAAAACTTTTCAACATCTCATATATATATATATATATATATATATATATATATATATATACATACATAAATAAATGAGAGAAAGAATAGATGGAGTAAAAATTCTACTGTTTGTAGCATTTACTTTTAAAAAAGTACCCAATACAAAAGTAGATCAATATATTATTATAAAAGATTATAATAAAAACATATTGAAATTATGGTTAATATTGGTTGTACTTCTTCAGGTGATGGTAAATCATCACCTGAAGTACAATCAAAGTAATGAAACATGAAAGATTTTGTGTTGTGATTTCAATATATTTTTATTATAATCTTTTATTATGATATATATATATATATATATATATATATATATATATATATATAGAGAGAGAGAGAGAAACTACTAAAGAACCCAACAATGTTGGTGTGACCAACAGACAACTTACCAAAAGACCAAATACCTTAGACATGATAAAAAATGTCACAAACAAGAAAAGAAAAAAAGGGGAAAAAAAAAGACCAAATGGCAGACAACTATCTACAGAGTAAATTAAAGTGCTTAATGCAAAGACTATTTAGACAGACCAAAAAATGCTCCATGACGTAAGCACTCAATAAAGGACAGCTTGAGCTGCTACTCAAGCTTCACGCTCTTGTGATCTTCAGGTGATTAGAACATATATACCCACACGCTATATATATATATATATATATATATATATATATATATATATATATATATATTCTTAATTTATCAATTTACTTCATCTTATTGCTTTTTGTCGAAACTTGTGAAAATTTTACAGTTTTCCTATTTGACTCTTCTGATGAATCATAATTATAAACTGCTTGCAAAAAAAAAAAAAAAAACCATAGAAATTATCCCTGATTAAATATTTGAATTTAACAACTTGCAATAACCAACATAAGTATAAATGCAGGTCATTATTCAAAGAAGTAAGAAGGCTCAAATTATAAGATTAAAAACTGACATGCTTTTCCATTTCCCTAAAGCAGACTTTAAATGTATGAGAACACTATCACTTCCTCTATCTTACCTTTCTTTATTATTATGCATGATTTCTTTTTTCCTGCTGAAACCAAACTACTTAATTTTGTCTTTACCAGCAATCAAAAGAGAAGGGTCCATTATTTATCTGTGGTAATGACAGTGTATAATGTAAGTGCTAAATTACTAACAGAGGAACAAGTAGAATTATGATGTGATGTTTAATGTTGGATATCCTGTATTTATTAAAGTAAGCAGCATGAAAGTAAAATAAAGTAGATTCTGAAAAGACTTCTTGAATGGCATATCCAGCAAACTTGTCTTCTAGGAACAATGCCGTAACCGATATAACGAACAGAAACTCAATAGTTTGATTTGTTTTTACAGCTTATCAACCCTTTGTAGGTTATTTAAAGACAGAAAATATTTTTAGATTGTAAAATTTTTTATTTTTTAGATAATAATGATTTAGTGATACAAGTCTTACTAATTAACCCATAGCTGGGAGGGGAGAAGTGGTAGATTCATATATTTCCCAAAGATATTTGTGCCTAAGTGAATATAATGAACCCAACTTGAATTGGAACTCAGCTCACTGATTAACAATTCTGAGCCATTATCCATTAAACCATCTGCACATCCAAGCTTACAGCACCTTGTATTCCCAAGCAGTCACCCATCTAGCTACTAACCAGGCTCAACATAGCTTCAATGATTGTATCAGGAATTGGTATTTCAATGTGATATGGCCATAAGCCCTCAATGGTTAGAAAGGACAAATCACACAAAGTCACCTTTTTTTATGACTAATATCCCAGTCTTCAGTATTCACAGAACAAAGCCAAGAAAATGAATGGCATTGAGAAAGAAACAATAGCCTTATTCTGCCAGAACGCTTGGGTGAATCCATGAACGCATTCGTTCTGGTTTTTCACTGTCACAGTTGAACAGCTTGTTGCTAAGTTAACGTCATCAAAAAAAAAAAAAAAAAAAAAAAAAAAAAAAAAAGGAAAGAAAGAAACAAACAATGAGAAAGAAAGAATTTTCATTTCTATCAATATTTTCATTCTTTCTTTCTATGTGCTGTGTCCCTTCAGGACATGGGCAATCATGGCTCTCCACAACTTCCTATCCATTGTAGCCCTTAGTAATGTCAGTCTTTTTGCCATCCCTCTGTTCCACCATCCATTCACACAAGTTTGTCAGGTGCCATGCTGTCCCTTTTGCTTTTGATATGTCTTGTGAGTGTCAAATTAGCCAAGCCCTTCTTCCTCATTATGTGTCCATTTCAGTTGTCTTTCTTATTCGGAATACAAGTATCCTTTTTGTTTCCATTTTTCTCAAGACCTCTTTAAAGAAACCAATTTGTTTCTTAAATTCACCACGTTTTTTGGTAGTCAGTCAGTTAAATGCTATATATGATTCATGGCCAATAATGTTTCTTTCAATTCATGACTGACTAGGTAGATTTACCACAGTAGGCTGCCATTTCTTTCTGTGGTAGATTGGTTGCCAACCAAGGCTATAAGACCCAGTCTGTCCTGATATTCAACCCATAGCTGGGGGGAGAAGAGATGGATTCCTCCAACTTGATTCTCCAATTTTTCATTCCAAGTTGTTATTCATTACTCTACATCAGAGTACTTCGTCAATGATATAAAACAATAGGCCTTATCAATAATATAAAACAATAGGCCTTATCAATCACAAAACCTAATTTCCCCAATTTACTAGTAACAACCAACCAATGTCTCAGGAATATCCTAAATATCATTTGGCCGGAAGTCATTTCCAATGACCAACTGAGGTACAGGACCAGACAAGCCCCAAATGAGACTGACATCAAGAAACAGAAATGGAGTTGGATCGACCACACACTCTGCAAGTCTGCTTCAAGTGTCACCAGGCAGGCCCTTGACTGGAATCCACAAGAGAAGCAAAAAGTGGGACAACTTGGTTTGTTTTGGCTTTACGGCATATCAATCTCAATGGGTTATTTAATGCTTACAAAATTTTTGCTGTTGGTAATATATTTTTTTTAAAATTTATTTCTAGTAATATTTTTGTTCAAAAATTCTATTTCTGGCAATAATTTTCTTTCAAATATGTATCACTGGTAATATTTTTCAAAAAAAGAATGTATAGCTGGTAATATATATTTTTCTTCTCCGCCCCCCAAACAAACTTGGTGCAGAAGTGTTGACAAAGAGGTGAAGGCAGCCAGCATGACATGGGCCAAGAGGATCGCACAGAACTGTATCTGTTGGAGAGATGTTGTTACAGCCTTATCTTTCTCAAGGAATCAAGAGGCATAAAAAAAAAAAAAACATTAGTAAAGTAGTAAACTAATGATTCATTTATACTTATGTTTTTTGGGGTGTTGAAGGGGGCAATTTTTTAAAGCATACTTTAATCATTAATAATCATACTTATTTCTAGGATCATGGCGGGGGGGGGGTTCAAACATGGATATTCAGATGTTGGC